TGGAGTCAAAGTTCAGAATGTTGCTGAAAATGTTTTCTTGTGCAAGAGTATTAAGTCGTCTGTTATTAATATCCAATAAAAAATAAAGTACATCCATATTGTTTAACTTTTTCAAAATAATAAGTAATATTTCATTAGGTAAATCCAGAAGATGAGTATTTGATCGGCTCATATTTTATTATGACTGTGATGCTTTTGACTAAAATAAAGCTTTATGTACATACATATTTGTTCATTATTTTCATCTCATACTTTGACCTCAAACAGAATGAAAACTTAGCAACGTGATTGGTCTATTTCAAGTTAAGTTATCTATTTTTACGCGATTTATTTGTTAATTCAGTCTGTTTGGCCGTTTTGTGCCATAGTGAAATTCAAGGATGACATATTGCGAAGAAGAAAGGATATATTTTGGTTATAAGGGAGTTAGTTGAACTTCATTTATTTAGTATTTCTGACATTCAAGATTTTTTCAGCTTAAAATCAAATCTGAAATTTTTGTAAAAGGACAGTTCTTTAAGGATCTCAAGTCTTTTAGTTACAAGGAAATTTCACATGTTATAATGTATAGATCTGGTTGTGATCTGGGTACACTATACACACATGTTTTGTTGAATCTGACGTTTCCTGTCCACACGAAAACATTGTGAAGCCATTTAGTATGTAGGATAATCTCCTCAATGTTCAACTAACATAAAAATTCTTGGGAAACGATTGATATTGATTTTGAAATTGTGCACAAAAGAAAATTTTCCTAATGAAACCATATGCAATAAGATGTGTACAAATAATAGTTCGAAGTTTGATCTTTATCACGGAAAAGATTAAATTTAGAAAAATAGCGAAGTAATTTTGAAAAATGTTCCTAAAATAATACGAGAAATATCTTCAAGATTAATTTCATTATTTGAAAAGAAACTCATGCATAAGTATCTGAGAAAATGTTTCTATTGGAATTTTGCAATACATATCGTAGATCGCGAACTTTCATCCGCCATCATCAGAAGAATGAAATTTGTTCATTGTGACGAAAGTAGTGATTTTGCTTGAGTAAATAATCTATCTCACTATGATGATATTGTTATAGATGGGTATAAGAAATGATCTGTATATAGTTAGAAAAATAAAAACATTAGATTTCATTTGTATATTTATACATTTAAAAAGACATTAGTCAAATTATAAGAGTTTATGAGTATGTATTGAAGAGAGGAAAAGCGCACTTCTGTGCTGGGTGTAGTTGAGAGCTATTAAGGTATGGATGTTGCCAAGGTTTAGATAAATAGATGAACATTTCAAGTGTTCAATAAATGAATACTTGAAGTGATAGTTGATTAGTTGAATTCAACTTTCAAATTTGACACTACTGGATTGCATAAAGCCATCAGTACCAATCTTTGTTTACACATATTCTACTGACTAGCGAAAAACAGTTTTGTCGTACGACGTGTGCAAGAGATACAATTTGTTAGTCATTTAAAGTTAAGCTGAAATGATACGTATCATTTAGTACTCATTTGTTAGTTTACATGATTTGTACTTGTCTGTGAAAATTTTTCTTTGAAAAACTTTCAAATACATTGCGAATAGTGTAAACAATTTTTTTGCACTTTAGAGTTTACGATAATATGTTTGAAATGCTAGTGGGTTTTTTTATTAGGTATTTTCGCTGAATGTTACTTATATTGGAAAGAAAAACAGCCATTTTTCACATAGAAACTTTTTTTTTATTGACTATTATGTAAATAAGATGGCTTGCTAGTAGCAATATATTTCAAAAAAACATAACAAACCTTCTTGCATGAACATAAACATTGCATATAGTGAAATGAAGCCGAAGTAACACAAATAAATAACTCTGAGAACGATCTTGTATCTATGAATAAATTGTGAGTTATGTAGACAAGTAATATTTTGTATTCACTTAGTTCGTCGTAATGCTAAACAGAGTTAACACATCTGTGAAAGTAGATATCGGGTACTGTTCTATTTTATAATTAGTTGATCATAATTGTATTTTACGAATCTCCAAAAACGGAAAGAAACTTAAGTTTAAAAAGATAGTTCACTGTTCTAAAAGAAGTAACATATTTATCTCCGTATATGATTGTTATACGAAAATATGGTTCATAAGATTCAGTCTTGTTTTAGAAAATTAAAGCCTAACAGTATCAATAAACAGAATATGATTATCGTTCAGATTGAGAGAGCTAGTACCATTGATAGGACTTATGGTTGTATTGAATTCTATTAGTATTATCGTTCAGTACATCAAAGAAAGAATCTTCCATAAATACTGAAGTATATTTTATTATTTCTTTTCGCACAATATATTAATTTTGTATTAACGAGAACTTTATAGAAGCATAAGTTATTTGATAACTAATATCTTTATTTGATATTAACTGCGAAATTATATTTACACTGATTGCGCGATTTACTATAAGTATAAATTAATGGTAAATCATTTTATTTTTATACAGTAACAGTATTTATATGTGATTATTTGCATTTATTAGTCGCATCTCCATAGTCATGTAATACCTATTTAAAATAGTGGTTGAAAGAGAACGACAGGTAAAATCGAATTTATTCCTCATGTTGCCTTTAGTTGGAAATATAATATAGAAAAACGTGTTTCATTTATGAGGTGCATCGCTTAAGATGCATATTATTCATTATTATCGGAAGAAAACTATAGGCTTCTCGGACGCCTTATTGTGTATTTGTTCTGTGAAGGAAATAAGAACTTTCCAAGTAATAAAAATGCCAAGAAATTTTATGCTTTTTTGCTCGGAAGAAACACATTAGATTAATATTCAACTGAAAAACATCATTCTGACAGACTGACTGTCGTAATTATTGAAAAACTTTTCGAAAAATAAAATAAATTATGAATAAATTTCTATAACTTTTTCTTCCTGTAAATAGGTGTAATTAAATTGTTTTGAGAGTGAATAGCTAAGTGTAGAGCATAGTTCATTATGGTAGACAATATCGATAAAGATGTAATTGAGAGCAAGTAAATGAGTTTGATATCGATAGATGAATGTGAAAATAAAGAAGAAGAGTACAACACTCACATCAATTCATGTCGTAGTTAATAACAATTTTAATTAACATTATGATGTACTAATACATATGAAATTATTGAAAAACAAAGAGAATACTTTATCTATCAATACTGATTAATGCATTAGTTTAAACTTTTACTTAAATTCTAACTAAAAATTTAATTGATGATCTGTGGAACCTTTTTTGATCTAATTATGCACTTTAACTGATGTATTACACTTAAAAGCTTACGTTTTCTTGTGAAAGAAGTTTAGTCAGATTTCTTCAATCTCTTAATAAAGACGAGCTAAACTTCAAGAGTAATAAGGAATTATTTAGTTTTAAAAACAATTTATGTAATGATGAAATCTTATGCATGTAGGAGCTGCTAGTTGAAGCGAGCAAACGTTTGAAGTAGTTATGAATAATTTTGCGAAATTGGATGAAAATTAAGAACAAATAATAACATAAAAAATCTTTTCTTCTTCCAACAAATCTACTACCTTTTTGTAGTTAATTCAAAACAATATTTTGGTACAACAGTAAGTTAATTTTTTTTCCTTCTCCAAAAATGAATACATTTTCATTGATTTATCATAATTTGAATATTTTTAGTTTGTTCAATTTGAAAAAAAGGGTGTTAATAATGTTGTTTGTCAATATAATGGTTTAACACAAAAAGTTGAACATAAAGCAAGTTATTAGGGAGCTGAAGAAAATGTTGAAAGAGGATAGTATGTATTAATATTTATTTGTTTGTTTTTATAATTTATAATTATCAATATAAAGTTTATCTAGTGAATTAAAAGCACAAAATGATGAGACATTAGATAAAATCTCTGATAATCAAGATAAAATTGATGCAAGTCGAGAATGGCTTTTAGAAGATAGAGCTGGTGTTTCTCCACGAATGTTTCATTTTGATATGGATTCCGCAAGTTATATTATTTAATATAAAAAATAATATTTTATATTTCTTAATATATATGTGGCATCAAGCTCGTCGTGATGTCGATAATTCATTACGTACTATTCGTAATCTTAAACAATTGAAACATGAAACATTCAATCGATTATCTCAACCATGGACATTTGGAACATATCCTTATTAAAAACAAAGGAAGAGAGAATGGTTATTCCGAAGAATATGTTAAATAAATAGGGGTAACCATCTCGATGAATAAGAAAGAAAGTCATTTTGTTTTGCTGATTTTTCTATTTTTTCTTTCTTACGTGTGAGCCTTTTTCCTATACCTTCACCATGTTAAAAATACATACACTTTTTCTCGTTCAATTGAACTATTGCTTCTTTTTCTGTTTGTACATATATTTTTTTTCTTTATATTTATAATAAGTTACAATTTAATTTTATACAAATATATCTATACTGTTCATCATATCGAAAAGAATAATAAATATACATGTACATTCTTTACTTTGAAGAGGATAGTTATATCAACAGAATTTAATACGAGATGTTAGTTGAGGTATTACATAGTGATATCAGAATTATTAATGCATAATTTTTACTTTTCATGTGAACAATTTTGTACGCTAATTCTATAGAAAAGAAAAGAAAAGAAAAGATGATCGACCGACTAGAATATATATCTGATCTAGGGGTCGAAGAAAAGAAAATTCTATTTAATTTTATAGGTAATTGTTGGATTTTGTTTATCAAATGGAAATTTACTATTTAAAACAATAACAACAGGTTTATACCATCGTGAATTTCAATGTGTTAATGAATATGAATTACAACTTAATCAAGTTATTATTGTACCAATGTGAAAAATACCATTAGATGTTTCTATATGACGTAAATTTATTTAAAATTACAAAAAATAGCTATTTTTGATTATTTTTTTAACTCGTTGGCTTGTAAATGAAGATAAACAAACAATAATTAATTAAAATCCGAAAATTATTTCAAAAGCTGATCTTACGACACATTTATTAGATCTTGTATGATTTTCGAGAACAAACAATCAAGTTTTTGCTATATTTTATTGTATTTTTAGATAAAGTTGCTAACAAAGAAATGATATTATCTTGATGCATTGGAAATTAAAACTTCAAATCCTCATGAACATTCTTCGGTACGTTAAAAAAATACGCATGCATCATGGATGATAGACCATCTTTATGTAGAAGGTTATTAAAAAAATTAGAGGGTTTCGATTCATACAAAATACTATCAAGTTTTATCGAATTAGAAGACCTAGAGGATTTTTTTTATTAAATCTCTCATACTCAGAAAAATTATATTTAATAAAATTCATTTATTTCTAGGAACAACAAATTTATTACAAAGAAATAACTGAAGTATGTGTTGGTTCGGAAGAACAAAAACGTCAAGTATTTATTTTTTCATTACTGTAAAACAATTTATTTTTCTTATTGATCTATTTTATATTTTAGGAAACTATTGCTGGTCTATCGACAGGAACGACTCTTCATCCAATTTTATCACAAATTGTTGTATTTATTTATGAAGATGTTAAAGTTAATTTAACAATATTAATCTCTTCAATGAGAATGACAAGTGCATTATCAAAACAACAAATCATTATATCATGAAAAATATGTAAATATTGAAATTTTTTTTTTATAAGAAAGAAACCATTATAAATAAAAATATTTTCTAGTTTCATCAATTATTTCCAGCTAGTATGACATGTATTCTAGCAAATCAACTCGATGATAGACCAGATACAGAGAATCATTGGGCATTCCGCGATTATGCTTCACCACGTTGAATCCAAATGGTCAAGTAAGTATAGTATTCAAACAAATAAAAATTTTATTTGTAATCGTTTTTTTCTTCTTAATTAGAATGTTTTCGGGTGGTATTCATCGTTTACAAAATCGTATTGAACGAAATTTTCTTCGAATATTTCATAGTGAACATATCACTTATTACTCACTATCGAGCACTTGTTGATTTATGTGAAATGGATCAAGAAGTAAATAGATAAAGTATAAAGTCAAATAAATTCTGTACATTTTCATTTATTTAGATAATTGAACAATACGTATTTTCTATAACAAGAACATTTAGTGATCGAATTGTAAAATCATGTGGAAATCTATCACTACCACCGATTGATAAAATAATGATTGATCGAATTAATGGTGTTATATCGGTAAATAATATCTATTTATTATATAATTAATTTATATAATTTTTATATCTTTTGTAGAAATATAATCCAACAGCTTACCGTACATTACGTTCAACACCTGATGATCTTGAACATTTTAAAGAAGACGTTGCTATTTTTTATGGACACCGTTTATATACACAAGTTATTCAACTTCGTCAACCATCAAAATCCACAACTCAATCTACGCAAGTGAGTGAACAAATCACCTATTAAACATATTAGATTGATGATTATCTATAAATGAGTAAACCATCTATTGTTATATATTATTCATTTTGCGCATAAGATATGATGTAGAAACCAATAAGAATAATCGATAAATATTTATAGTAAACAAGAGAAAAATGCCCGAAAATACGATTAAAATTTTCACATATTCGAAAACAACTGTTGAATATTGATCATAGCCAGTTGTTATGAATAATTTACATAATAATGAAAGCTTTTATTCAACACGCAGTTTAAGTTATTCCGATATGGATTCATCACAGCAACAAGGTACTGAAGGATTTTATTTATCATCAGTAATGAATTTAAATGATAATACATACAATCATTTGGAAACATCTCCACGTTCTTTATCAACTAATACACTTGATTAATTAGTCAATTCAACAATATCAACAGATATGAATCAATATCCTATTCACAAAGATTCATATCCACCTTCAATCGAGTCAATTTGTATTGTTAATAAATATTTACCTGCTTCTCCACCACCTTCACGTAAAATAATCATTGAACGACAAGTACCACTTCTACAAAAATCTCAACCTATTATTACTGAAAAAAATGGATTTCTTATCGAGCACCAACCAAACGACGTATTATTATTGAATCAACACCACCATTAATATCAAGATCTCTACAAAAAAATACTGCTATTACATATGATGCTTCTCATGTTCATCTTATAAAAAATATTCATGATTTTGGTATTGTACATTTTGATCCTGATATATGTATATACTGCTCAATATGATTCACAATTAGCATCAAATGAATATGTTTTAAATACTATGACAAAAATTGATGTCTGAAATAATTATGCAAATATGATTCAAATACTATTGATGAACCATAATTTAAATAATCATCAATCGATGATTTACAACAAAAATAAAACATGAAATATCTGTGGATATCAAAATGGAATTATTTGTGATTATATTGAAAAACATATCGAGGAAACAATATATACCGGATGGTAGACGAAAATTTCATTCGAATACTGTAGGTTCCAATATACAAGAAGTTTTACGACAAGTATCTGTAGTTAATTGAGAATTATATTTTTTTTCAAAGAAAAATACATTCTTATTAGTTTATTATTTATTCACGCAATAAGAAATCTTTTTTTAACTAACAATAATTTATTTATTGACAAGAACTTCGATTCGAGTTCGATATATATTTTTTTTATTTTCAATAAAATTATTTGATATTTATATCGATGTTTAATACATTCTACACATGTCACAAGAACATTTGAGTTTTCTTATAGTAATCAAGTTATGTGTGGATGTCACACGTAACTAAAACTTATTACATTAGATTCAGATTCGATCAGTTTTTTTACCATTATCCAGTCTTCTCATTTACTTCTAAATTAAATCTATAGTAAAATATACATACAATTTTTATTTATTAGAATCATCAATTTTCTCCATCATCTGGTCCAACATCACGTTCAACAAAACATTTGCCTGGCCAAGCAGCATCTCCATCATCACATCATCCAAATGCTGGTTCAGTAATTCCAGCACAATCATCAGCTCGTTCAATGAATCCTTTATTGTCAAAGCAACAGCCTCAATCATCAACCGATTCATTAACAACAACGAATAGTCACGAAAATGTTATTTTGTAAAAATATTTAGATAATATTTGTTTCTTTTTTATACGATATATACTATCGTTTTCTTTTTTTCTCCTAGTACGATATGAAATTGTTTTTGTAGATTTCTTCTAAATATACGTTTTTACTTATTTATAACCAAAATGGCTGAATCATGTCTTTTTGATGAACAAAATGAATTGGCAAGAGCATATCTCAATCGTGCTCAACATGCCAATGCAATTGTAGACGATGCTGGTTTTTATTATGACAAAAGCATCAAGCTATCAGAAAAGAAACGTGCTGATTTGTTTGTAGATAATGGTGAATGTGTTATAGTCAAGAGTGAAAAAGGTCTTGAAACAATTTGTATTGTTCATGGCGATAACACATGTCTCAATGATCGTATTCGACTAAATACCGTTGTAACAGATAATTTACGTGTATATTCTCGTGATTTTGTTACAATTCATAAGTGTGGAAATGTTCCAGATGGTAGCCATATATAGGTTTTACCGATTGGTTAATCTGAACACGGATCAAGTAGTTGATAAAGGATGGGATTCTTTTCAAGTACTCTCAAAAACCGAATTGGTGATATTTTTTATTAACTTACATTATTATTGTTTATATATCTATGTTTAGAAAAATTCAGCTATTGTAATTATCCAGGTCGATGAATACGCGATTCGTATACGGTCGTAATACTGAGACAGGTAATACGCTAAAGCAAGACGGAATACGGCACGACATTCGTATACTGTTCGTATACGGTCGTTT